CTAGGAACGCCGTTGAATTGGAGAGTCGCATATAATTAATGTTCGCGAAAAAAATTTTATTTTAAATTGTAAATAATTGTGCATATAAATAATTTACTATTTAAAATCATTTTTCAACAGTCACAACTCAACAACATGGGAAAAAATTAAAAGGCATCTAGTAATAGATAGATCTAAAGTTCGTTCAAAATGTAAAGAATGTTGCGATTACATTATTTCGAGTGATGAAGAAGATCACAGTCTTCAGTGAGATAAGTTCATCCAATGGATTCAGTGTTTTAAGAATAATCTAAATCAATTCAAAGTGTTCAAAGATTAATCTAAAACAATTTAATTATCTTAATAACAACGAGGAGGCTCCATTTAATTGTTGCAAATGCTGTCCAGGTTTTCACAAAAAATTGACCTCAAAAATTTGGCTAGTTTTCAAAGCGCTGATTTGAACATTATTATTTAAGTAATAAAAATAATAATTTCCAAATTAGAATATGTAAATTTTGTAAACAAAATAAAAGTTGATGAGAAAAAGCTCATCACTGATAAAAATAAAATGCTTTGCCAAGAAGTTGCTGGTCTTCGTAAAATTATTAATCGTATTGAACTTGAAAATGTTAGAAGAAAAAATTATAATTAAGACAGACTCTACTCCATCCTATAGAAATAATATTGCTTTACAAATCGTTGATGCTGCAAAAGTTATGGATGCTGATGTCTTATTTAATGATATTGAAAATTGTAGTATAAGTAACCGCATAAAAGGTAAAACCAAAAATGTATTTGGATATGAATCAAATTAATTAAAAATCGAATTTGTGAACTTTTTTAAAAAGCAGAATTTTATGAAAACTGTATCTATTTACGGACGGTTGCAGTTCGTTTTTCAAGTAATGATGTCCGTTAGGTGCAAAAACAAACGAGTCAATCAAATTGAACACGATCTGGATATTCTTTCTGAATATCTTAGAATTTACTTTTAATTTGCAAGAGGACAACGAAATAAAGTTTTTTGGTATTATTTTTGACCAACATTTAACTTTTAATTCTCATATAGATATGCTAAATAACAAATTGGGTGTATTTAACGAAGTTATGTTCAAATTTAAAAATTACTTACCAATACATAAGTGTTAAATTAAATATGTAATATAGCGTGTTGCACATTTTTTATCGTACGATACGGTTATTTGGGCTTTAAAGAACAAGTTTAATATTAACTTTTAAGGAATATTATAATAGTATGTTTAAAAACTTTCCAGATTGTTACTATTACTATTCTTACTCTTATTACTATTCCTATAATGCCAACTTAGCCGCATTTTGGAATTTTTTGTAATTTATCTATCTCAAATCGTCCCAAAACAAACTTTTATCACAGTTTATATACCGCACTAATATAAATTTATGTTACCTAAATAATACAATGAATAAATTAAAAAATGAAATTTAAACAAATTTTTAATATCATACAAAAATATTTAGCTGCTCGATTTAAATTTTAAATGCATACTATAGTGTAGAGGTGGAGAACTATCGATAGCACTATCGATACTATCGATAGTTTTTAACCATCGAAACATCGTTTAGCTTTAATGGGCTGAATGACATTTTTGTGGGAAGTGACCGTCAAACGAATTGACGGTGAACCAGCAAATTTACCAACTCACAAATCTTTATACACGACGGGTCCGGTGCAGAAAGGATTCAATAAAAGGTCAATTAAATAAAACTTATTTTTACATCTTTTCATTTGTTTTCTTATAGGATTTGCTCAAGTATTCATAATTGTTAAACCATACATATAATTTAATAACAGTTACACTATACATATATATTTATTATATATTGGTCTTTTTCGAATATTTCTAATATTCATTTCCAACCTGGTTCTTTAGTGGTTTTTTTGTATATTAAGAACTGTCACAATTGCAAAAAATAATTGTCAAAAAATTCAAAACTTTTTTCACAGTTTTTTGAATATTTAGCGAATAAAAGATTGTTCAGAAATTTGTTCACAGTTTTTACAGTTTTTGTTCTAGGAATATGGGAGCAAATATTTAAGCTTTTTAATAGCAGCTTTTTAATTTCAACTTGTTTTTCAGTAGAATTTTGTCTTAAAAATAGTAGTATGGAGAGCTTTAGCGTAGTAATTTGGAGTTCTCATCAAAGTATATCTACTAATAAGTAATTCGACTCGTTCCATTCCGTTAGTTTTCGTTTGCATCTTGCTTCCAAATTCTTAAAATATTCCATTTTTTTGTAGAAATAGATGGTAATAAGAGTTGTGTAGGCAAGAAAGAAACAAAATATTGTAAACAAACGAGTGTATCAAAAACATTGAACTAAAATAAAATTAAATTAAGTTAGGTAAAAATTTTGTTATTTTTATTTTAATAATAACAAAATTTATTTTTCATTTTATAAAACTTAGGTAAAAAATTCGAATGTATGAAAGCAAAAGAGTTTGAAATTTCATGTATGAATGTACACATGCATGTACCTGGTACAGTAGATACACAGTATCAGGTAGTGACATAGAATTAAAGTAATTTATAAAGAAAAAAAGATACTGATTACTTTATGAAATATAATTATTACCGGGAAATATATTATTCATTGCAAATTTATTAAGATTGAAATAAAAATAAAAAATTTAAAGATAATTTATTTATTTTATTTATTAATTACAAATGCCTAACACTAAATATTTAAAATATTTTCAAAAGTACATATTTACCTCTTCAGATCTTTTGGCAACAAATGAAATTTTGGTGTCGGCTTTTTTCATCCCAAACACTTCAAATAATGTTTACTCATTTTTATAAAAAAAATATTTTTTTCACAACTATTTAAATTTTTTTTTACTATTGTACGTCTTTTCAAAATTTATTTTTATTATTTGTATAAATTATATTATATAAATTATAATAATTTTTTTAAACACTTTTTTTCTTCTTCGCTTTTATAATATAATACACATTTTTTGCCACCTTGTACTGGAATGAATTACAGAAATTATTGTGTCGCTTTTAAAATTCTTAATATTTTTCCCTATACTTTATATAGGAACAAATAATAAAGTGTCGCCTTTCAAAATTACATTATAAAAAAACAGGTTGACATCTATTGCGTACTCTTTCCCTTTCCCAAAAATTCTTATGTGTATAAAAATGAAAATAAGAAAGTATACTGCTTAACTCTTTTAACTAAGGGAATTTTTTGTATACAAATATTGGTGAGTGATTGCATTAGTGTGATGTAAACGGAGAGTCGAACTACTTCTTAGTAGATATAGTTTGGTTCTCATTAACACCAAATAAATAGTAAGGCGTCTGACTAAATAGATGCGTAGCAGAAAGTGCTTGCGTAAAAATGATTTTATATCCGTACATGTAAAATCAAGTCACGCAAATAAGCTACGCGCCTACGCAAAGTGTTGATATTTTAGACTTTTGCAAGGTACATTTTTTTTCGGTTTTTTGATTTTTTTTTTGTATCAAATTGATCTGGTTACTGTCAATTCACATATTGCGTAAACAGCGAACTTAAACATTAACAATATAAACTTTTTTTTGGAAAATAGTTTTTAATTTTAGAAAAACAAAAATTTTATATAACAAAAAATATTTTTAGGTCTTCTTATTTTTGTGCAAGTTTTGTTTTTAACAATACAATAATGGCATTTTCATATACCAATGCAAATGATGACATTTTAGTATAAAGGCAAAAAAGTAGTGAAAATGGCTTTGCAGTAGTATAGTAGTATAGAATGCCAAAATATAGTAAAATACTACAATTGTAGTAAAATTAATAACACTGCTTAAAAAACTTAATTATTTAACTTAGCTAAGTCAGCGCAGTGATGAGTTTTCGAAAAGGCCCATTATTTCATTTTCAATTTTGAACGTAACGGACGTAAAATGGAGACCCTGAAGTATTAAGCTGAAAACAAAATTTTTGAATAAGTATGCATTACTTTAAGTGATGTGTTTTAGAACGTATGGGTATTGTTTTAAACTTTGTATTCGTACGACTGCAGGTATCTATTTTAAAAAAACCTTTCATGTTACGAAATTGCTTTTGTAAAATCAGTAGTTCAAGTCTAGTTATTTTATTTTAACATCAAATGCAATAAATATATTACTGAAGAATTATAATTCTGAATTCTTTTCATCCCTTTTTTTTTATTTTTTTTCAATTTTAAATTTTATTCGTATTGAGTACTTCCAAAATTAATTGAATCCCAATTCCGCCTTAGTCTTCAGTTAAATAAGTTAAATGTTAAATTAAATGAAAGGTGGGAAAAATTAAATCTACCTTCATGTAGATTAAAATTATGTAATAAGTTTGTGTAATAGGAGGGATTGCTGTATTATATTTTATTTGTTTCTGCTTTTTGCACTGCATATTAAAGTGTAATCTCAAATTAAAATACATATTGTAATCAAAAACATGCTATCTACAAAATTACTTAATTGTATCAGAACAAGAAAACATGAAATTAATAAATAGTTTGGAAAAATTTAACAGAAAATTACTTAGTTTTAGTTTTGACACATAACACTATCATATTATGAACCGTGGTTCGGATCATCAATTTTCACTCATCAAAATACATAAATATTCACATAATTGAAAATTTCAATTGCCATCGAATTTACCACGTAAATGAATAACTAGTTCAACTTATTAACTTAAATTGCGATGTGAAATAAGTTTGCACAAATAACATTGTTCTATTAATGCCCTTAACCAATTTTTAAAAGCAATATGCACATTTCAAGAAATAAGTTTGCACAAATAACATTGTTCTATTAATGCCTTTAACCAATTTTTAAAAGCAATATGCACATTTTAAGAAAATAAAATATTTCATACTATGTATATATTTATACAAAAAATTTATGTAAAAAAATAAATGTACATAAATAGAACCTTATAGTTTTTTCAATGATAATATGTAGTATATTTTCTCAGTACTTGGCTCAAAAGTGAACAAAATGTGTTAATTCTAACAATGAATACAAAATATTTTTTATTAAACTCTAAAATACCATAAATATCCTCTCTTTAAGTAAATAATAATGTATATAAAAAAGAAAAATAAAAAGAAATTATAATTTTTAATCATCCTTTTCGTTTTTGTTTCCACTTGTAATGGTAATTTGCTTTTGCAATTTGCTATATTCCTCCGTCAAACGATCGTATTCTTTGTTTAAGCTTTCTGCTTGTGATTTTAAAGCTTCTTTATCTTTTCGTTCATGATTAAGGGATGAGGTTAGTTCTTGAACTCGTTCACGTAGTCGTTTTATCTAAAATGGTCAATTAAAAAATTGAAATAATAAATATGAGTTTTTAGACAATTTTTTAAACAGAAGATGAAAATTCTAGATTTATATGGCCTTCTTCGCGTGATTTAAAGATTCTATTAGACCGCGAACCCGTTCACGAATAAGTTTGATCTAGAAAGGAATTAAAATTATTTTAATATTTTTAGAAAAAGATATCAATATGAAGCAAAGAGCCGGGTATTGAAAGCACAAAATAATGTAGCTTAAAAAATAATAAGCATAATCATAAATAACCCTTGCTTTAAAAAATTCTAATAATCATACAAGTTTTAATATTTACATGTAAATACTTAAATTAATGTTTACGCCATTAAATCCGATTTGACTAAAATTTACGATATCATCCCGATGGTCAATAAATCTTGGAAAAAGGGTCTAATATTAATTTTTAAAAATGAGACATGGTTAAATAAATTTCAATTTTGCTGCAGGAAAGATTTTACAATAAAATTTACTCAATATTAAATTAAAAAGTAATTTTGAGGAAGCAAAATCAATACAAAAAGTTACTATATTTTTTATCTATCTCTGAAAAAAATAATTTAGAAATATTTAAGTACATCCTGTAGATTTTAGTGCATAATTCTGTTTTACTGTGAAAAAAATTTATTTCACGAATTTAAAAATTTAGTAATGCAAAATATTAGCTTTGCATAGTACATTTTTTTTTATTAAAACACGAGACTTCTACATAACCAACACTTACCTCATCTACGCTGCTTGGATCATCTTCAGTATCTTTTTTAGCATTCATAAGAGTTCTCGCTGCCGCTGTTGCACTTTGGGCTTGTTTCATTGATGCTTCACTTTGGGCCAATAAATTGGCGATTTGAGTAATAAACATTATAAGACGACGTATAACAAAAACCAAAAATATTGCAAAACCGGAAATATAAAAGTTACGCTGGGCCCTAAATAGTCTCATACTGTGTTGCATTTCTACATTTAAATGTGTATCAGTTGCCACTTCGTGATTCGAGTATTTTCGCATTTCCCGAATTGCTTCTAAAAGAAAAATGACCAAAACTCCTAAAAGTAAATAAAAATACATCTGTGCCTGCTTTTCAAGCATTGCTAAGAATCTCGATTTAAAAAATCTGTTCCATCTTTGTGGGCTTGCTATTGGTAAAACTAACAGGAGTACAAGTGCTGAAAAATTTTTTCAAATTTCAAAACTTATTGATGAATCACCTCATTTTAAAGTACCTACATTTGTATATGTATGTATGAGCATACAAATGTATGTACATATGTATTTCTGCTTTAAAAATTATTTAATTTAATCTTACCAATTTCTGAGTAAAGAAATCCTGCAATTATTGTCCAAACTAAACTCATTTTTATATTGAATAAATTTTTTATCTACGGCAAGCTAAAATAGTAAACGTTCAAGAATTTTCGTTTTCGATTCCCTGGTGCTCGTCTTTTTATAGAATTCCCTTCTTGTGAACAAAAAAAAATACACGTACTACTTAGTACGTTCTGTCGTAAAATGCTACTGTCAAGATAAACTCGATATTTCGACTTTCATTGACATTTTATGTACCCCTAGTAGCAGTCTACAAAACTAATACGTACGTATGGACTTTAAATATCGATTGACGGTCAAGTCGTTACTTCCTGTAAAAATACAATTCTGCCGTTTAATTTTAATGGGCTGAATCACGACTGACAGAAATACAGGTCTGGACCAGTGTTGTTAATTTCAACTTGTTTTTCAGTAATATTTTGTCTCAAAAAAAGTAGTATGGAGAGCTTTAGCGTAGTAATTTGAGGTTATCCTTAATACCAAACAAATAGGAAGGCATCTGGCTAAATAGATTCGTAGCAGGAAGTGCTTGAGAATATTTTTATATTCGTACATGTAAAATCAAATCACCCAAATGAGCTACGCGCTTACGCAACGTATTGATATATTCGACTTTGGCAACGTTAGGTACAATTTTTTTCTGTTTTTTGATTGTTCTCTCAAATTGATCTGGTTACTGTTAATTCACATATTGCGTAAAGTGCGAACATAAACATTAACAATATAAACTCTTGGAAAATAATTTTTAATTTTAGAAAAAAAAATTTTTAGGCCTCTCTATTTTTGTACAAGTGGTTTTTGTAGCGATACAATACTGGCATTTTCATAAGCCAATGCAAATTATGAAATTTTAGTATAAAGGTAAAAAAGTAGTAAAAATGGATTTGCAGTAGTATTGTAGTACAGAATGCCAAAATATAGTAAAATACTACAATTGTAGTAAAATTAACAACACTGGTCTGGACCCTAAGAGAGAGTGACAGTTCACAGCTGACGAATTTACACGTATTCTTATGGGATCTATAGAGGGCGCTTTTTAACATCATAAATCTCCCACAAGATCAACACTTTTCAAATTTATGCTATACTGCAAGAAAAAAAAGTGCATTTTTTTTTTTCGAAGTATGTGGTTGATTTTAGTATATTTCTTCAAATTTGAAAGTACATTTGAAATTAACGAGTTTGCTAATTTTGTGTGATATGTATCTCAAAATGCATACTTCTTATATAACCACAAATCTATATATTTTTCATTTGTATATAATATTAATTAAATTTATATGCTTCATAATTCATAAAATTCTTGCATATGCGAATTCATTTTATATTAAAAGTCCATATAATTCTTTTTAGGTATGTACGTTATTTTAGTTTTATTAGGAAATAATATTCACATTGTTAGTAAGGTTAATGTATCGATTTACCTAAACTATCGCATCAGGAACTTTAAACGTTTAAAACTTATACAAGTTTCTTCGTAATATTTTTATAATGTTTGTTTTTATATAGGGAACAACTTGAAATGACGCATTTTTTATAATGATTATAAAATTTTAAAAGCACTATAACAATTATAAAACTTAAAATCAAATTACAGACTTGAATTCTAAATTAACATCTAATAAAAATTTTATTTACTTTATTTTAAGATTAAAAAATATACCTAGTACCAATTTGTTTTTATTCAGTGTATTAACATTTTTTACTGTCAATTCTCTGAGATATGTTGTCTGACATGGCGGTACAAAAACATGGGAAAAAACCTCGAAAATTATAGTTAAAATTATTTATATCTAATCAAAATTATAGTTAAAATTTTGAGTTTAAATTTGAATTTTTGGTATGTTGTTCAGAAAACTAAAAATTTCATTTTAGTATAAAAATTTTTAGGTTTTAGTCAAGTTTTCGTATAGAAAACTCGAAATAAAAACAGGCAAAAATTATCATTTTTAAAAAAATCGCCAAATATATATATACAATTTTACAAATGCATTCAATAAACCACCTGAGTTCACTCCTTGATTTTTTGTAATGTCAAGGGCTGATTGGTAATTTTGTTGGAAGTAATCGGTAGTCTTCAATATAACAAATTTGCTGTGACACAAACCTTTTTTTCATTATTCATAGAATTAATTAGAAGCCATCTTCATTTAGTTCATATAACCATACTCTAATTTAACATTATATTGAATTTTGTCAAATTATTTCGTTTTGACTAATGAGTTGACATTTCTATAACCTTATATTTTTTTAATAAGAACATCAAAATCTGTCATATCAGTATAAGTCTTAATTACAGCTAATGCAGAACATGTCAAGTTATAAAAATATAAATTAATCAAAATTTTGATAATGGAAGAAACAATTTCAAAAAGAAGAAAGATATCGAAAAGATACAAAAATAAAGTAAAAAATATTTTACAACCTGGTCAAAAAGGATTTCTAGTTACTTGCAATTTCAGAGAAAAGGTAAATATATAACATTTTAGTATCTCTGCCCAATTAAGTTCAAATTTAACCCACTCTAAACTTTTAGGATTGCGTACGCGAATGCTACAATATTTTAAATGAATACGCAAATAAAATTTATGGAGTGGAAAAAAATTCGACTGACATTACAGCAGATGGGAGTGATATTACTGATGAATTAGAAAAGGAAATAATAAATCTTAATTCGAAAATGAAAAATGGCAGGCGGTTTCAAAATGTGGAAACAAAAACCACCAATTGCATTTTCATAAAAACAACTATCGACAATCCTGTTGATTTAGCCGTCCAAATAATTAAAGATATGGCAGAAAATCAAATCCAAAAATCCAAACATATTTTAAGATTTGTACCTATTTTAAAAATATGTCCAGCTGATATTAAAAACATTGTTGAATCTGCCGGCGAACTGCTTGATGAAATTTTTTTGAAAGGTAATATTACCTACAGCATTCAGTTCAATAAAAGATATAACGACGTTATCCATAGAATGGATGTTATTAGAAACTTGGCAAAACGAGTAAGTGATAAAAGTCCCACAAATAAAGTAGATCTTAAAAATGCTGAATGGTGTGTCATAGTCGAAATTATACGAGGTTTATGCCTTCTTAGTATTGTTCCAGAATATTTAAGATTGAAAAAATACAATATTGCAGAACTTGTGAAACCATCTGAAAATATAAAGCAACTCGAAGTAAACATAAAAAATAAGTTCAATGATGAAAAGGTAACAGAATGTAATGAAAACAACGTTTTAGACTCTACCAAATCTTTGGAAAATTTAAATACAGATAAAGAAAAGGATAACTCTGATGTGAGTGAAGTGTGATAAATTATGGTGAAAGCAATATTAAAGAGTGGACGAAAGTATCTGTAAACAAAACTAAAAATTAAGACAAATGAAAGAATAATCTCTATGAAGGGAGAGAATTGAACCATTACCGAAACGAAATATCTTAAATGTTTTCGATATTTTTCTAAAATTTAAATTTCTGGCTGCAGTTAAAGAACATATGAATTATTAATGTGTTAACCATACATATATTGAAAAACGTATTCTTTTTCAAAAATCAACTTTTAATTTCTAATATTCCAAATACTTAGTTTCAGTTTTTGTTATACTTAGTTTCAGTAGTTTCCATATTTGTAGTAAAAATTTATAAATTTGATTACAAATTTTCTTATACTTTAGTTCGACTTTTTGTAAATAATGCTTTACCTACTATCAAAGCGATTTTTTCATATGTTGCAAACATTAATGCTGCTGTCAAAATTGTTTGCCAAATTTTTGCCTCTATGCCACGGTATAAACCTTTAAATCCGTACTTTCTTGCTATTTCGAATAATATTTTGGTCGTACTAGCGTCTTGTTTTAAAGACCTGTCACAAGTACGCAGCTTTGTTTGAACTAATTGTAGAGGGTACGTAACAAATGTTGCAAAAGCTTTTGCTAAAGCACCCAAAAAAAAAAATGATGTGGTATGAACATTTGCATGAATTTTGGTTAGCCTTCTTTTAATCGATTCGTAGAACATAAATTGTAATGCTGGATTAATAACCAACATTAATGATGGAATTGCGCCTGCCCATAAGCCCTTGAAGCCTTCTGTCTTTCCAATAAATATTAGCCCATCAAGTAAATTATTAAATTTTTCAACCGGCTTTCCGGCAACTCCGTTCATTTTTAGTCTAGTATTAACAACCCAAAATGGTGTTGTAAGCATAACATTCACCATACCAGCTATTGAACCTAATAAAAGATCTTTAAATGCACTTTGATTTCCGTTTCCCCGTCCTTGCATTGCCTTTAAACTATGAAAAGTGTAAAAATACACAAAGTTGGATAAACAAAGGCTTTGTAAAACTGGTACTAAACCACGGTATAAAGAGGAAATTCCTTCATATTTAAATATTTCATTTAACACTGAAAATGTTCCAGACTTTTCCCTTTTCTCAGGTTCTTCAACTATTATTTTAGCATATAATATAAAGTAAATTAATTAATTCAAAGTGTGCATTTCATATCTATATTTTTAACTGATACTTGCCTTGAAGTCTAGCACGGACCGTGTCAACAGGATAAAATACACTCATTGCTACAACGCTACCCTGCAATATAGAAATTGTATAGACATGGAGGTACGTATTTAAAACTTCTTACGGTAGCGCCGGAAACTGCATGTACAAAAGATTCATAGCTTAATACTTTACATATTTCCTTTGATAGTACCATGCTTCCAGAGTAAATTAATTGTAGATAAATATTTTCTTAAAAATATTGTGTTAAAACCGTAATCGTCATCCTTAAACTGTAGTACAATGTGCAATATATAAAGTTCAAAATACAAAAATCAATATTCAAATTTTTATATTTTTATTTTGATTGTTAATTTGAAAGGTAGATTTACATTATGTTGTAATAATTTACAAGATCTGCTGATGACAGCTGCCGTTTTTAACGAATTTGACGTCACCGACGAGACATCTGGCAGTACAAAATAAAAATTTCCACCCAAATTTTAAAAATAGCTAAATTCCCGTTTTTAGTTCTCCTAGCATACTTCACTGCCGTTTTTTATTTCCAGTTACTGCTTCGAATCCATTTCGATATTTTTTTAAATTTTTCTGCCTTGAGTTGAGAGGTATTTGTATGAAAAACTTGTTACTTATTTAATACATATTCGACAAAATCAGAATTGAATGTACGACAAAGAGTGATTATTGCTTAACCATTGTTTACATCAGTGTTTAAAAGTTTTTTCAACTCTTATGTTAGGTTTATATTTTTTTAAAGGATTTTTTTTTTCTTTTTGCGAGAAATTGCATCATTGCTTCTCTTTTCAAAGTTTTTTAAGTCTTATAGAGATTATAGTTTACTTAATTTTAGTTTACAAAACTTGAAAAAACTTAATATTCAGAAGACGATATTCGCTCATTTTTTCTCAAAAAGTAGTGTACTAGGCGCTTTGCATACTGAAACTTTATAAAGACCTATTTATTACAATTAGTAAAATAATAAATTTACTTTAATTTACTAAATAGAAAAACATTTATTTTATTTATTATTTATCAAAGTATGATTACCGAGATTTCTTAATTTTGAGTAAAATCAAAATGTTATTGAAACAATCTATGAAGCAAATAATCCCTGCAAACTGCTAAAAAGTCAAAATTTAGCTAAATTATTATAGCAAAATCATTAAAATTTACGCCATGGGTAAGAGAACCCAGGCTAGTATTTCCACCCCATGAAACAGCCACTTGTTACCAAGTCATTTCAAAGCTTGCAAAAATTTTATTTTTCATCATGGAGCCAGATAAAAAAAATTGGCGCTTTGAGTAAAAAAAGGTTGAGAATTACCAAGTAGAGGTGTGTTAGTCTCTGTTCCCGCCAGCGTGTTCACACTGCAGCGGAGGATACCCACAACGAATTCAATGCGCTGGTGACAACCCGGCTATCCGAAATAATCATTGCCTCTTGTTCCCGATAACACCTCTTCAAACAGTGCGGTTCTACTTTCAATTCAATTCTGCAAAAGACCTGTCACAGAACTAGCAGAAAAAATATCAAAGCTACTTTAGTAAAGCTTCTTGTTAATTTTTCACTTTAAATTTAAACAAAATTTGATAAGTTTACTAGAAAATGCATTTGGAAAAAAAAAATTATTTATTTATACGTAACTTTTAGCTGACTTTATAATTTCAAAGTCATGATACGACTGCTTAGATTAATATGTATGCATGTTTAGAAATGTGCATATTATACAACATACAGGCATATTGATTATATGTATAAGTGTGTATATATGTAAGTAAACGATACTCAACGATATATGTATGTAAGTATATCGTTTAAATAACAACTAAGATCTAACATCTTTGAAAAAACATCTTTTAAATACGTACCAATTTATGTATGTATGTGAATGTTTAGAAACTTCTTGTTCTTCTCTTTATTCCTCGCTTTTTTGTAAGCACTTTTCCAAAAAAAATATTGAAAAAAAGCACTTATTAATTTTACTAAGCCAATCCGTTCGTCCGTGGACGTGTTTACAAAACTTCTACACCTTTGAAAATAGAAAGCTGATATCATATGTACATAGATTACTAAAAACTAGAAACTCATAGATTACTAGAAACTTACTAGAAATTCATTGTCGTTGAAGAAAATTTTTACCTATCTCCCCCCTTCTAAAAGTTATAGTCCCATAAAACCCTCAAAATGCCATTTTTAACTGTTTATTGTAGCGAAATCAAAAGCATTTTTCAGAATTTGAAAAAGCAGAAAATTAGTGGGTGCCTTCTTCTACTGTAGCACACTATATTTGAATTTTGAAAAAAACAAAGTGTCCGTTAAAGTTTACCCACTTACCGTTAAAGTTTAAAGTTTATCTAAAATTCGGTTTTTTAAATTTTTATACAGTCTTCTTCTAGACCTCAAATTATAGGAGTCTGAAATTTTAGATACCAAATAGTTCATTTTATTCCTTTCCACTTCCAACCTATCAAGGTATATATTTTTGAAACTGTCAGGTTTTTCAAGTTTATCTAAATGCAGCAATCTAACGATAATTGTTGTGCCATCAAAAAATGTAATTATTTTTCTTAATTCACGCAATTACGTTTAAATTCGAGCATTATGTTAACGTTTGTTTAATTTTTTTTTATTTCATAGATGGTATATATTGGTCATCCCAAATGTATGCAATCTTGGAAATATATGAAAGTAATTTCGTAAAGGACGAAAAAAAATACGTGAAAGTAATTTTAATAATGTAATAGTTACCTAAATGAGCAATAAGTTTTCGAAAGCAGTATTTTCACTTGTTGAAGTGAAAAGTGCTATATTACAAACCAATGGTTTGACCCAACTTTATTTTGTTTTATTTTCAGAATAGAGAACATTGATCTTAAGTTACCTTAGGAAATGAATCTTGCAATATAAAAATTTTCTATATACAAAAAAGTAAAAAAAGTCTGCAATTCGCTTCTTCCTAAAGAATTTCATCAAATAAAACTTGTTTACAGTTTCATATTATTATAATATTATGTATAACATTACAAAACAACAAAGATGAAAATAATATTGAACATGTAGGTATAAAAAGTTAGAAAATGTCAATGACCGTAAGTAGCTTACATTTTACATCGCGATATTTGTGCTTTTTTTGCTTATTCTTTTTATATTTCCTTACTTTTTCTTTTTGGCATAATGCTGGATGGTATTGAATAAGTCTGGATTAAACTGAAATACAAAAATAAAGCTCGGTTTTTATATTAATATTGTTTGCAGAGTGGCGGAATCGTTTTTTAAAGTTTTTTGATTGCGAGAGTTTGTGACAAATATATACAAACATAATATGTATATTTTATTTCATTTTAAACAATTCAGTTTTTCATGCAAAAAGTTTCAATAATTTTATTAACATAAATTTTTTTAATAAAATTACAAGTATTTGTAGATAAATGCTACATATACGTGCATACATATATATTACATATGAATGTGTAATAAATTATGATTTTTTTATATATATTAAAATTTTTTTTTTTTAATTTTTTATGTGCATATTTATGCCAAATAGAAGTCGAATTCTATGTTAATTTGGATATGAAAACAATTCAAGTACGGCTCAGAGAGGCAAAGCCTTAAACCCATATCCAAAACTTTCGTAAAAAGTTGGCAAGGCTCTACCAGCGGACATTGACATTTTATTCAGATTATTGGCTAAGTTGAATGATTTGTTATAAAAATATTGAAGGTGAATTAAATAACATGCGACATGATCAAATTAAATTTAAGGCCTCCAAGCCTTTATATCGAAACGAAAATCAACACGTTGTTTTAGGGGTTTAATCAGAATTTGTTAATAAGAACATGGTAAAACAAAAGTTTTTGCTTTACAGTTTCTAAGTTAGGTTTTTAACTCAATTAGATTAAATTACTTAATTACTATATGTTTTGAGTTAAAGAACAATGAATTTTTCAGTCCTAATGATAATGATATATAATAATGATAATGATAAATCAAAATGATAAATAAATAATTTGAACAGTAATTCAGGCGATTTCTGTGATCATAAATATAACCACATTATTTTGTTATTAAGCATATACCTGCATATATCCATATATATGTAAAGGTGTATAAATGTTTTATGTAAACGCGTAAAGAAATGTGAAGTGAAGATTTTAAGAAAAATTAAAAAAAAAACCAGACCCACGACTGCCAAATTTCATGAATTTAATTCTATTATTTTTTTTTAATATTTTAAATTAGCTTTTGGAACTCTCTGACGGCTACCCGAACCTGTCAAACCATTCCACTAAAACTTCAAGGTTATATCTGACCTGAAATTGAACACACGACTGCTGAGTTTGATGAATCTAACTTTATTATTTTTTGCAATACGTAAAATTAACTTTCGGAGCTGTATGGCAGCTCCTTCTACCGGACTCCTTCAATTGGGTACAAACTCTATAAATGAATATACCCTTCCCGAAGGTGCGGGGTATAAAAATGTATTTAGCAGAATATTGGTTGAGCAGCGGTTATTTTTTAGTTTCTTGTTTTTCTATTTTTTTTCGTCATAAGAACGAAAAAAAATAGAAAAACAACATATGTAATATATATAATATGTATGTTTAGTATGCTTTGGATAAGTATATTGTAGGTATGTATGTGCCAGGACTGAAAGAAATACGTTTACCTTAAGATAGTTTTGTAAGTTAACTAATGTATATTGTATGTACATATTCATATACGCAATCGTTTATGTAACTTGATATACATTCGTAACAATATTAAAATTATGTCGCCGGCTTTAGTAGAAGCACCTCGTATTTTCAAATTCATCAATCTCAAAAAATTTTTCATTTTTTACCAAATACATGCAATATATAAATAATCCAGACCAAGACTTCAGAGGAAACGTAAAATACAGTTTAGAAGAAAACACATAGAGAAAAACTGTAAACTCTTTCCGTGCCTGATATTTGAAATAATAGATACTTGTGAGATATGGAACTCATCTTTGATGAAAACGCATAGAGAAAAACTGTAAACTCTTTCCGTGCCTGATATTTGAAATAATAGATACTTGTGAGATATGGAACTCATTTTTGATTCTTTTTCAAAAACAAATTTAAAAAATGTGTTTGTTAGTGTCAGGAGTCTGAAATTTTTGCAGAATTATTTTTTCCACCTTCAAAGTTATTCGCACTCGGAATTCATTAAATTTATGTTTCCGTTGTGTTATGTTATGGAAACTACAAGCTTTTAAAAGTTTATATAAAAGCGAAAAGTAACGGTAAATGTCATGTCAACAAAATTTATATTTATTTTTCTTACCCGACAAACTTAAACGCCCAATTCAACCATTACGTTAACGCTTCTTCC